GGAGGGCTCTTTGCAAATCAGGCCACATATAGCTCATGAGAGGAGCAATCTGAATTTAATATATAAAACAGAGCACTGCTTTGGCATAGTACTACATCCCAATAATTTCTAACTGTATAAAGACAATTTGGTTACTCGTTTTGAGGTGAAACAGAAATGTGTAATTTCATGCAGGTCAGTTCAAGTCCCTCATATTTCATATCACACATATACTTTAGAATTACTTATATTTTTATCTGAGCAGAAAAACATTTACCCATCAAGATATTAGGCTTTCATAATAATTAACCTAGCTCCCTTCCTGGAATCTTAACACTAACCTTTAACAAAACAAAACAAAAACTTTGAAGTGGAGAAAACAGGTATTTTACTACTTGACGTATATTTTAATAGGTCATACTATTCTTTTTTAAAAATTAAAAGTGTACATTTAAAGTTATTTAAAAATAGTAAACATCTAAAGTCATATTTATCCACATTATTGCAATTTAAAGGATAAAGACTATTCTGTGGCCTAATGCTTTGCCACAAGACCATCAAGGCTAGGTTTACTAGATGCAACTATCACAGCACTGCGACACCTTAAACTAAATCTCTAATTCACAGTTGCCACTGTCTCCTACTCAGAGTTGTGCCAGTTTGGGGAACTGAGCTGTCCAGTCAACATAGTATGGACTCATTTCCTTTACTATATCAGATTTTTTTTTTAAGCCTTTTTTTCTGTTTGCTTTTGTTTATGTTTTACGATTCATTCCATGTCCTAGATGTCTTATTATGCAGATACTCACAGACTGTTTCACGACATCTCCCCATTCAGGAGCCACTCCATACTCTGGATTTTCTTTCAGGAATCTGCACAAATCCTTCAGAGGGGGAGCAAATGCACCCCCCACCTGAGAAGTAAAAGAAACAAGTCAGGAAATACATCTCATCTGATATGTACAACATCCATTTCTGGCTCACTTTCACTTTTGCCTCTTACGTAAAACAATACAAATAGTCTCAACTAAAGTGATCAACAAGCTAAAATATTTGATTGACGATTGATTCATGTATTGATAACAAATGCTTAGGACAAAAAAAAACCCTAGTAAACTCTTACTTTGTAGCTTCAATAACTGACATGCCCACTAATGTAAGATTAAGTTTTAGTATCAGAGCTCATTTTGGCCATGCAGCAAATGCAACAGCAGGCACAACAATGAGCAGAGAACAGAGGTCCAAGGATTTGAGTGAAAGTTGAAACTCTGGCCATGTTTGCTACAAGCAAAGATCAACTGCCTCATTCCTTAATCATCAACCCTGAGAAAGTTCCCTGGAACAAGGTTTACCCTAGAGAGGCCAAGTGTCCCCTCTGTTAGCAGCTTGCACTAGAGCTACCGTCTCAATGTACTGGAGAGATAAAGGACTCTCAAGTTCTGTCCCACTCTTCTCCACAGACACACAAAGCTTCTGAACTTAAAATAGCAGCATGAAAAAAAAAAAAAAAAAAAAAAAAAACACAACCACACTT